AGAACAATAAAACACACAAACCAAACATGAGAAGGCAAGACTCACCAGATCAAATGTTACTTGAGGAAATATACCCTATGCTCCTTATTCTTAATGCCATTGGAACTTTTTGAGTGGCTGGCCTTTTCTCACAGAAAATGCTCATCCGAAATCATCCAAAATGGGAGAAATCTGCATTCAGCTGAGTAAAACATAAATTATTAAACCCATCAGCCACTGCTCAGTGTCCACCATTGAGATGATGTTTTTTGCAGGACTGTTTGGCAGTATATCTATAAAATTGACATGGTCATTTTACAAAAAAAATAAAAATAGCACTACTGCACCAGATGTAGTCCTGTTCATGCTTGCTGTCTTTAGTTGTAGTAAATTATTACAGATGATTGTTTCTGATGATGGTCCATGCACAATCCATGGTGTTCTCTCCATCACATATTCTGCCCTTTCCTGTTCTTATAGTTGAACATGGGAGAACCTTTACTTCCATAGTCCCAATCCACTGGGAGGTCAATATAGAGAATTTCCTCTGCGAGTAGTGATATTTTACCTATAGTAAGAGACAATTGGGCTGACCCCTTGTTTGAGATACAGAGCTGTAATATTTTTTGGAAGTGCAGTATTGGACACCCCATTATAGTATCTCCCAAACATTTTCTAATGGATATGTCCAGTCAGATGGAATTTGGATTTGCCCCTAGATGCAAGTGAGAGCTCCTCCTTTTTCCATCTGTCATTACAATATCTATCTTATATAAGCTTTAAATCAAGATGGAATAGCCTACAACCCTAGCCATACTACATGCTCTATTGTTTTGCCCACCTTTGTGACATGTTACCACTAGCACTGGATTTACCCAATATCCTTTACTGTAAATCTCTCTGTAACATACATGAAATATATCAAAGAATAAATATTCAACATATTTCACAAAGAGTTTGCTGCTTGAAAGGGATGCTATCTCAGTCAAGTTTCTTCTCTGCTAGGCAACCCCCATGCTCTTGGAAATCATGCCCCATTATCATTCCCTTTCTGTCACTTTTTCAGAAAGGAGCTCATCTTTGTAATTGGTTTGCACTGACCACTCCACCATTCTAGCTCATATTGGTGCACAAAGGTAGGCAGTGTTTTTGAAGTTAACATTTTCCTTACCTGAAAATGTATTTTAGATAGAAACCTACCTTTCTGTACCACCTTCCTACCCTCCCCACTTCTGTTGTACCTCCTTTGCCTCGTCAAAAATGAACCTATGACCATATGCTAATGCTCATGGAGATTATTATGCATGGAGATCATGTCACCTTCCTAATAATGGAAGGCAATA